GGAGCTGAAGCGGGTTGGCTGTGGGTTTTGTGGATGTTTGATTTGCGTCACTGTCGCCTCTGCGTCAGCGCCTGACTTTATGCACGTCTGTGTCACAGTGTGGTTGTTGCATGAGCAAGAGGCGGACCACACGACTAAATACAAGATATTTTTAAAATATGTTTGAGCAGTAATATTTGTGACACACAGAACTTTAGAAAACTCCTAAAATGTGAATACTTCCTATATTTTTCACACGTCCTTTCAAAGCAGGGTGACTGTGGCTCAGGAGTCAGAGTGAGTCGACTACTAATCTGAAGGTCGGGGGTCTCAGTTCTTCTAGTCTGGGGCAAGATACCCGAGTTGACCTCAGCTTGTGTGTGTGACTGTTAGGTCAAAGGGGCAAATGCACAGAAAAGGACGTGCTTGTATCAGTGTGCTATCTGTATCAGCTGTTCCACTTTAGGTTTGTCTGCACCGCTGCACTCGATCCTGTCAGTCGCATTCTGACCACCGACGAGCACTTTGTGCATTTGCACCTGATTTTATCTTGATTATTATCATAATTCTGACTTGAATCACCATGAAGCCTGCATCATTGCATCTTTATTGTTTACCTTAAGCACTGATGTGCCGATTGAATCTGTGCACAAATGAACAGAGTTGTGAAAATGAGGAGAATGTGCATATTGGCGCTGGCTGAACACGAGCTATTGTATCAGCATAATAAAGACACTAGATACTGTAGGTTTACAGCCTAATACAGTCATACACAGATCTCCACTGGAATGAAATCAGTCTCTGCTGATATGAACTGGGTAATGTGTTAGGAATGAAAGGATGCCTCATTGTTTGATGGGAATGAAAGCGATCAGCCTACAGAGGGTTGAATTCAAAGTGAAAACATTTAGGTTTGTCCACTTTGCTGTAATTTCATCCTCCTGGAGCGTTATTGTGCAGCAGGAGGAACCCAGGACCCACTGCACCAGACCAGTGTGACAGAGGAGGCTCCAAAGTGCCGATGCCTGGCCTGTAGAAGTCTGTGCAGCCCTCTGTGGATGTGCCTCACCGGATCATTACTCACCCATCATCAGACCACTCATGGTGAACAATGTTTCAGGCAGGATAACGATCTCCATTCGTTCTCCGGACCCTTTCACATGTGTCACATGTGCTCAGGCTCCATGGTGCCATGGAGTGAACACAAGGCCTATTAGACGACGTCAGGCCCACCCTTTGGTTGGTCAGAGTCACAGCAGTGAGACTGTCCTGGGAGACACACCAAACCTTCAGTGTG